GCTCCAACAAAGGAGAATGGGCGTGACTGACGTAGTGAGGGGCGACGTAGCGATGTGGTATCCTGAACAATTTTAATATTTTTAACGTTTGACAATGTATATGATAGATACATATTTTAGTTATTTTAATGTGTGAACATGGCATGCAATGAACTGGTTTGACGTGGATAAGTAAGCACCTGAAGATGGCATTATTATGCCGAAACATGTAGTGCGAGGGAGAGAAGGAGATAAATGAGTGTATGCACTGCAAGACGGATTAAATAAATCATGGACTTAAATCAGTGCAACAGGACGCTAAAATATAACTTTAGTTATCATATTTATTTGTAACAGTGCTGTCAGGTGTATGTAGGTGAAACTTGATATGCACATGTAACTTTTGTTGGATCCACGTAGAGACATGAATACAGTATATAGTGGATTTTAGAGACATTTTTCATGAACTTACTTGAACTGGCTGAGGATAGAGAGGGCTTTTGTGTCAATTGATTCAGGTTCTTGGTTGTAGTGGTTATGTCATCAATGAGGTTTGTGAGAACAGTTGAGAGTACTCTCACCTGGAATGTGATGTCATGTAGTCTGGTAGAAGTGTACCCATGTTTAAAGGAAGAAATGAAAGAGGAGAATCTGCCTGCTTGGCTTACATTCCTCCTAAACATCAGCAGCCTTAACAGGCCACATGCCATCACGTTCCAAAAGGTAATACTGTTCACTGTCAGGCTGTGAGAACGTCGAACCTGACAACAGTGTAATGAGTTGGTTGTTTGGTAATAGCAGGCAGTGGACTGTCTGTGTTCAGGAACATGTGCTTTATGTTTTTTCTATGTGATAATCTTCAAAATGGTGCCCAATTTCAGAACTATTTACAAGGTAGCCGATATATACCTGCTTGATGACCCGCTGTCTGCAGTGGATACCCACGTGGGGCATCACCTGTTTGATGACTGCATCTGCGACTTCCTGCAGGGCAAAACTCGACTTGTGGTCACGCACCAGCTGCAGTACCTGCAGGCAGCAGACAACATTGTGATCCTTAATAATGTATGTAGGTCTCCATGTGTATTGAAAAATACTACATATATAGAGACAAACATCATTGTTATGTGACACCGTGTGGTTAGGTAGAAGTTTACTGATGCCTTGTTAGCTGCTTGCTCAGTTGACTTTTCAACCATGAAGGTGGAGGCAGTACATTCCTTTGAAATGGTAGTAGACTTAATCTTGACCGTGTGGTGTCACATCTTAGAAGGCAGTGTTTGTCTCAGTAATAATCATGAGAACTCTAGATCTCGCACTTCAGATATAAATTTTAAATAAGAATAGAAGTAGGCAGTGATTTCTTGCAAGAAACTGAAGTGTAAGTATGAAAGAAAAGTGAGAAAATACAATTACTCCTTAAAAGACTCTCAGAAACAAGGATGAAGATACTTATTCATAAATTAGTCATAAGCAAAAAGAATTATATAAGACTTGTTTTCTTTTTCTTGAAAACTGTGTTAACGATCACAATGTATGTCTTACAGTCAGGGGAAGTGATGAAAATGAGGCACAAAATACTAAAACAATGGTTAGCAGACTGCCTTCCTCTTGGAAGGGTATCCTGGCTTACAGTTATAATTAATCTGGCAAAAATAAATTTTCTTTGCTAATTAAAATGTTAAAATATGTTAGAAACAAATATTAATTTCTCCTTTCTAAACTATTCTGCATCCTGTTTACCATGAAATATGGTAATTCTACGCTGGGAAGGAGTTGGAAGGTTTTTAATAGTGAGGGAACTTCACTGTCAGTAATGTAGACATTTTCTCACCTTTGTTATCTGTAGTGTTATTGTAGCTGTTTGTTTTGTTTCTTTGGCCTGTGTGATACTTGGTTGATTGATTAAATGGGGACCCCTTATAACAGTTCTGTGTGCTTTATGTTATGGAAGAACACATTTTTGTAGAAGAATGGTTATCCCACTTTGTTTCTTTTGAAGAAGGACCTGCAATTTTGCAATCATTATTTATCTGTGAGCAGATAATTATTTTATGAGAATCCTCATTATAGTGTCTTAAGGATGCGTAAATACCTTAATGTTTAATACTCACATTTGCCATGGTCCCCTGTCTACTAAACTGTGAGTTCTGGAAAAAAGAAGTTTAAGTTTACATTGTGGTGGGTACATAAACAACGCTTAAAACTTGCATCTGGAAGTTGTGGTCATACAGTAAGAAACATGTTGTTTTGAACACATCAAACAGTGTTGTCATATCTCTGGAACACTAGTCTGTTCTGGGCACAACTACAAATATTTCAGCAGAAAGTCATGCCTCATGAATGAAATTTTATACTCTTGTTTTAGTTCTATTCTGGAAACTTTGAGTTTGAAAGTTTTGTAATTGCTTCAGACAATCCAAGGCAGGTGGAGAGCCATGTCATAGTAGAAACTTACATTGTATTTACTTTTCAGGGAACTGTAGAAGCTACAGGTACATTTTCCAGACTTCAAGAATCTGGACTTGATTTTGTTAAACAGTTGGATTTGGATATAGACGAAGAGGACAGGGAACTGAAGAAAGGATCTGTTGACTATGATAAGTCACATGGATCTTGTGAAAAAATGATACGACAGAACTCTGAAACTTCTCAGGTAGAGTTTAAATAATAAGAAAACTCTCATTTATTGTGCTAGTCATCTGCTGTAGCATAGGCGTATTATCTTAGCATGCCAGTCATTTGTTGTTGCATAAGCATAGTGTCACAGCATGCCAGGCACATACTGCCACACTGGCTGCAGTGGGTGATATTGTGTAGGGTTTTCATGTTCAGTCATTACGTCAGTGACAACCCACTTCTTCGGAACAGTTTGTAGGTCCTGAAAAAGACCATTGGTTGCTGAAATGCTTGGCTGGTGAAGTAGCACGCGTGCCGGTAGGAAGGGATGTTGGTTGCGGTGTGTTGAGGTGGCTGAGTCAGTTGACTGGCCGCAGTGCGGTCGTTGCTGGAGGTCGCTTGGTTGCTGGAAAAAAAGGTTTGCTTGCCGAGCGCGGCCGCAGGAGTGGAGAGGTGGTAGCTACGCCAGTTGCCCAGTGTGTTGGGCATGACTACCAGCGAATTGAGGCGGCCGAGTTGCCCAGTGAGTCGGGTTGTGACCGCCAGACAGCCGAGGCAGTCGTGCCTGGCGCAGCGAAGTGCTGATGCCTCCGCAGACCGAGCGCTGGCAACGAAGTGTGCTGTTTGTAGGCTGCTTGTAGACTGAAGTGGAACTGATGGAAGACTGATTACTTGCGAACTTGTGCTCCGCCTTTTATACAATGCATGATGGCGGAGTGAAAATTTGCTGAGCGCTGGTTGGCTAGCGCGCGTAATGATGTGGATGCGGGCTAGCAGCAAGCGCTGTATAAATGCGAATGTTGGATGCAATTTGATTGGTTAGTGTGCGTGCTGGTGCTGTGATAATATGTGGGATGTTCCCACAAATGTGTTTATGCTATTTTTATCTCCATAACTTCCTCTCACATTTTTCCAATCCATGGAGTCAGTTCCAAGGATTTATCTACATGATAAATGACTAAGGCAGAACTCCCCAGATTAGGGAGATTATGGCAATAAGGAGGGTAAGTGATGAAATGTGCACATATTCGAAGGCCCTAGGCAGGATTTAAACTTGTCCTAATGAAGAATCTTGTCAACCTGAAGATGATACAGTGAAGTCTGGCCCCAAAGAAGGAGGCTGTACATTCGTCTGAAATGTTTGTCAAATTTTAGCAGACTTGCCACATTCCAGAAGACAGTGTTCGTGTTAGTCACCATTGTGAGAATGCATGAATCTCTGTTCAGCTTGAAGTGCATACGTAAGCTTTCAGAGCTACAAGGATACCGAAGCTACTCTGATGAGTTCCAGAATTGACCATCATTTCATTAATCTCTTTATGAGAGGTTCATTCTGTCCTTTCTGCTCTATAGTTGACTATACAGTGTACACTGGATTTGAGGTTCTTACTGACCGTATTCAGGGTTCTGACATCCCATACTTTGGTAGAACTTGTACTGAACTAGATAGCATCACTTCCCAGAAGATAGTGGCCCTTATTTCATGTTTAATTTCATCGATCCAAAGTTAATAATCCTAGTGTTACATATCCTGTACTTAAGATCCCATCACTTTGTGATTTAATTTTCCCTGTTTATGTTCAAATCCACTGTTGCCAAAAGAAACCTGTAATGGTAGCTTCACTGTGTACCATATAGTAACTGTGCTTTTCTAGTGGAGAATGTTGGATATCAAGAGTGGTACATTGTTGGCCACAGTGATCCCTGATGAAGTTTCAGTTGTGTGGTGGCACAGGTTTAGGGAAGGGAGGAGAGGAGGACAGACTTCACGTTTGTGCTTCCTTTGTTTGTAATGTTTCAGGATTATTTTATTTTTAAGAATGCTGTAGGTCATGGCTGTGCAACTCATGGCATATGCCAGTTAATTTTGTACATTCTGTGAGAGTACCTTTCTGTTCCCCAGAATGTGTGTTCAGGCTCACCTCCTTTTGTAAATGAGTCACTGAATCTCGTAGATTGATTATAAATGAGCCAGATAAATGTCAACCTCAGTTGCATGAACTACAGGCACATCCATTTCTGAGCACACAAGCTGAAATCAGTGCACACTTCTTTAAATTTATGCCCAGGAGCACATCTAAACTTAGGAGGCTTTGGTATAAAAATGCATTCCATGTGTAGATATGAAGTGTGTACGGTGTTGATGTTGCTGCAGTGGTGACTGAAGAGTACAATCTTCTGGTTTGTAATGCCGGGTGGGTCAGAGAGCCTAATGTTTTGGAGGAACATATCACCTCCATCCTCAGCAGTGTTGAATAATAAGCCAAGCAGGCAGCAGACTGTGCTTTGTACCCAGAAGAATCTACTCTCTCTGTATAATTTTGATATGCCTGTCATGTACAAACAGATGAATGTCTTCCCCAGTTACATTAACTTGCTTCTATTGAATTAAATGAAGATATCTGTGTCCACTTATGGTGGAAAACATCTGTCAGTGGTGTTCACATTGAAAACAATACAGACTGGTATTGTCTCTGTTTTGTCTGAAGCAGATTTGTCTAATCTTTCTAATTTTGCTATGTAACATTACAGTATGTTAAATTTAAAGTAAATAATTGTGCTTTAGTTGTCTGGGTCCAATTTATACCAGGGGCAGTTAAATATGGTTTAGGCAATGGAGACACATTGTGTTTCTGCATTATTGCTGGAGATAAAACTTTATTCCTGTTCCTTGATTCTGAAGGAAAGCAAAAGAGGCAGAGTGGATGGGCCTGGGCTCATCTGCTTAAAAGAACAATGCATTTGGATTTTGGATACAGACTCAGTGTTCGCAAGTTTGAGTGTGAAGTGTACTGTCTTTTGGTGCATGATGTCATGTAGTCTGGTAGTGTTCTTGGAAAATGTCGGTAGACTTCCATCAGGCCACACAACATCACATCCCCAATGACAGTTTTCTCATTAACAGATTTTGGGGTGTTATTTCAGTTCTCTGCTATTTTCACAGAGCTCTCTGTCTGGATCAGAACCAGTGCAATCATCCGAGATGCGGACACAGGGGCATGTTGGTTTAAATGTGTACCGGTCATACTTTGCAGCTGGAGGGAACTGCTATTTCATACTGCTTGTATGTGCTGTGTGTGTGCTGGTACCTGTGGCTACGAGGTCAGGAGACTACTGGATGGCTTATTGGTATGTGAATGTCTGTGCAGGTTTGTTTTATTATTCATAGTTCATTTAGTGACACTGCTAACAGCTCAGACTGTGTGTTGTCGGATACCTGGACAGTGAGTGAACAGTGAATTGCAAGGGATACAGAAGGATAGACCTAATTGAAAGTACTGTTTTGCAGTTTTTGTGGAGAGACTGAGGAAAATCTCAAAATATTTAGTCGGGATGGTTGGTGCTCTGACTGAGATTCAAACCAGGAACCTACAACATTTAATGCTCAAGCCATCTTGCCCAGCCTCTCTGTAGTGTGAGTGATACAGATTACTGAATACGTGTTTCATAGAATTGTTAACACTGATTGTTATTAAAAGAAATATGAATTAACTTTTCTGTGCCTGCAGGAAAATGGAATATTCAGAAACTGGGTTCTTCAGTAATGTCTACATATTACAGGTTCATCATTAAGAAGGTGAAATAATTTGGATTATAACAAAGTAATGGGTATTGACAAATTATAAACCCTACAAAATGATCTGTTCAATAGTCTTCTTCACATAGTTATAAAGTGGGAGCTATACGAGTGTCATTGTATTACACGCTCCCAATCACTTCTCAGTTGTCACAAATTATCACTGAGTATCACACAATAACTCTTCTGATCACACGTTCGGGTCTTCTCCCTGCGATCGCTAAACTGGAACTCACTCTGTGGCTGCTGCCTTGAAAACTGTCTTAGGGGGCTGCTACATTTTAACTGACTTCGTAGGCAGTGTAGTTCTCTTATAAACCCTCAGCTGGACAACAAGAATACTCCTTGCTTCCTTGTTGCCTAGTCGCGTGTTTACCGGTGTTGCTGGGCAGCACTGTCGGGAGTTGTTTATGGCTGCATAGCAACCGCGGCATCCCGTGTTATGTCACTGCGGGGAAAGGGGTGAGGTGTTGACTTGCCTGTTACCGTAGTAACGACAGCGCTCTGATGCCGNGAACTCACTCTGTGGCTGCTGCCTTGAAAACTGTCTTAGGGGGCTGCTACATTTTAACTGACTTCGTAGGCAGTGTAGTTCTCTTATAAACCCTCAGCTGGACAACAAGAATACTCCTTGCTTCCTTGTTGTCTAGTTGCGTGTTTACCGGTGTTGCTGGGCAGCACGGTCGGGAGTTATTTACGGCTGCATAGCAACTGCGGCGTCCCGTGTTATGTCACCGCGGGGAAAGGGGTGAGGTGTTGACTTGCCTGTTACGGTAGTAACGACAGCGCTCTGATGCCGCCACATCACCGCTGGGGAGGGAGGGGGTGTCCTCCATAGCGCAACACGTCACAATATAGTAAAATTTGATGTACGTACCTTTTTTTTTTGTTGTTATCTGCTAGATGTATATATAGGCTGAAATGAAACTATAGTATTCGATTTCACTANTCTAGTTGCGTGTTTACCGGTGTTGCTGGGCAGCACGGTCGGGAGTTATTTACGGCTGCATAGCAACTGCGGCGTCCCGTGTTATGTCACCGCGGGGAAAGGGGTGAGGTGTTGACTTGCCTGTTACGGTAGTAACGACAGCGCTCTGATGCCGCCACGTCACCGCTGGGGAGGGAGGGGGTGTCCTCCATAGCGCAACACGTCACAATATAGTAAAATTTGATGTACGTACCTTTTTTTTTTGTTGTTATCTGCTAGATGTATATATAGGCTGAAATGAAACTATAGTATTCGATTTCACTATGAAAGCACAGAAAACAGATCGCACTCTGTATCTCAGCCATAATGCAACTCTCTGTTCACGACCCTAGAAAGGGCAATAATCTCTTGCAGCTATAAAAGAAGGTCTTAGCACTGAAGAAGGGACCCCACAAGCTTTCTCTTGAATAGCCATTCTTTCATTCTTCTGTCCTGTAGTCAAATGATTAAAAAATCCGAAGAGTGTAAGCAGTGCTAGCAGAAAACCAAATGATTTTATTGCTTCCATCTGTTTTATGACACCAGGGACTGCTAAAATTTGTCAAATGTTACAAACAGAAATGAATTTATAATGCAGAACAACTCTGTGAAGAACTGGGAAACCATTTTGCAGTATGCATCAAAATTAAAAGAAAAAATTGAAAATAGGGTATAACTCTTTGTATAAATTTTTCAAATCTTCCGTTATAATATGTGACACTATGTCCTTTGCTGATACAAACAAAGTAATTCAATCCATTTATCATAAAAATTAAGTTAGATACAGCATTTTTAAACACAATGCTTAAAATTGTTTAAGCGCCCTGACAGGAACAGACATTTAAAAGCAAAATAGTAACGGGCATTTAAATAAACTGCGGCCAGCTCAAGCTTACCACCATTTCAGACTTCTAGACATTATTTGTTGTGTTGTGTTCATTAAATAGTAGATGTATGCAGCCACAGCTATTCTTAACTGTACACCAGAAATTTATTGTCACGTGTGTGAATGTGACTATAGACAGGTTTTGGATTAGTAATTGGATTTATTGCATAATTATGCAATGCATTACTGCACTTCACAAATCACTATCACAGACTAATGTTCTAAGTCTGTTGCAGTCTCCACTAGCTGTTGCTTGGTAGCGGGTTGCAACAGCAGATGTTCCCCTGGGTTTCTGAGCTATCCCCAGCCTCAGCTGCCAGTTTCTTACAGCAACAGCTCACAGTGACTGAACTACAGTTCCCTGACTAACTCACCAACTCACCAACCAACTCTTCACTAACTCCAGCTCCTGACTTGTCCTGCTGACATCTTGACATGGACTGCACAGAAAACACTGTTTCCCATTACTGTTGTATCCTCTTGTTGCATCAATGTTTGTTGGTGGAGCCGTTACCTATCAAGGCTGGTCTACTTGCTGTAATATGATTGTAGCCTCATATAAGAGGACAGAGTTCTTTAAAAGTGATTAAGATGATTGATTCATTGCTGATAACCACAAAAACATTGGAGATGGTACTTTAAAAATTTAAATGCATACGTATAAATGTAAGGGGTCACATTTATTCATTGTATGTTGTAAAGGCTTGTTGGACAAATAAATGAATTCAGGTATATGTAATTTATGCCACACAATGTGAAAGTATATAGGAACATCTGAATTAGTGTAACCAGTTTTTGAATTCACAGTGCTAATGTCACAGTCAGGTCACCACTTTTGCAATAGTCATCATGCTTATTTTCTCATGTGTGTGTGTGTGTGTATTGTTAGGACTAATGTGGAGGAATTGCGAGTGAAATTGCCAGGAAACAGCCATGAAGATGTGCTTAACGTGACCAGTGCTGCATTCTTGAACATCACTACCACTCGTGACCATGTTATAAATTCCACAATTTATGCAGCTGATGCACCATTCTTGAAGAACAGTACGATGAATGTTCCTGCGGCAGTCTCAGCTGGATGGAGCTGGATACCAAGCTCAGAGACGTGCATATATGTGTACATTGGCTTGATTGTTAGCATCATATTTCTGATAATACTGAGAGTGATCTGCTTCTTCACAATGTGCACGAGAGCATCAGTCAAGCTTCATGATTCAATGTTCTCAAGCATTACACATGCCACCATGGCATTCTTCAGTCACAACCCATCAGGTAATTGGGATGGCCACACTGGTTGTGTTGGACATTCAGTATTTGTCAGCCAGTTTTCTTGCTATAAATTTAATACTATACGATTCAAAGTGTCACATGACTTTTTCCCAGTATGGCAAAATACTCTCTTAGGTGCTTTGTAATGTTTTTCATATTTGAAGCTATGGCCCCCCCAAGGGGGGTCTTGCTTTTTCCCTAGGGATGCTAAAAATGGGCTGATGGCCTTACATTAATTAAGTGCATATGTAATTGCTCAGCAGTCTGCAGATTTAACCTAAACATCATAAATTGCTAATGGTCTGTGGTAAAGGACACATACAAATTGCTAAGAAATGGCCCTAGACATATTGAAAGTTTCAAACATAGTTTTTTTAAGTTGGGCCTTTAACTACAAAGTCAGTATTGAGACTACATAGCAATGAGACATACAGTTTAATAGAGAAAGTGCCCCAATTAAGGTTCATTTAGTGATGACATTTTTTAGAATGCAAAGTCCATTTTATGAGGGGAAGGGGCTGATCACAGCAAGGAAGTTTTAGACTAAAGTACTTTGGGGACCACTATTTTATAATGTACATATTATAACTTGTTTCGTTACCGAAGACGCCGTAGAGATGGTTAATTGGGTTTATTTAACAATCTACAAACAACGGCTTCAATTAATTATCACACAGTTGCGGGGTTTCACACTTTATAACCCTAATCGCATTAATCTGTCGACACTGTTGCGGGGTTTCACTACTTATAACCCTATGCGCAAATCAGTTCACTCTGTCTTCAGTAGTAACACGTTGACAGTAGGGGAGCTGGGTATCACTGTATCACACGCTCCCAATTACACAATCACACACACGTCCGGTTCTTCTTTCCGCGACGGCTGCTATACTCCAACTGTAGACGGCTGGCTGTTACTTTACGAGTATAACTCGGAATGTCTTCGGCGGTGGCCACACTGGAACTCGAACTCGAACTGATCGATACGCACTGTGCATCCACTTATATAGCTGCAGTGCTTGCCTGTGGCGTAATGAGTGCCACGTCACAGTAGGACGTTGATTACGGTTACGTTAGCGTTGCGCGTTACGTCACCGCGTGACGTCACCGCGGAGGGGAGTGGCGGGGCGGG